GTTTGAACGGCTTTCTTGAATCTTGACACCAACTTGAATACTTAAAGTCTTAAAGAGAGAGAAAATTATGTAGAAAACAATAGAACAAGAGATGAAATATACAATGAATGGATTCCATGATCATGACTAGTCTCTCTTTTATATATACTTTCTGGAATATCTTCGTGTTCGTTTAGGAAAGTGAATTTCTATTAAGTAAGAAATATTTTAGAGATATAAACTGCTTAGACTTTGTATTTCTTCTCAATTAGAACTCTTTCAACATCTAAATAGGATTTAAACTTGATTGACACGTCAGAAAAGCATCTCATGTGTGTCCATGCAAGCGGCACGGGCTAGAGTTGTCATTTTCGGCTCAATATGAAGTCAAGCATTCAGCATGGACGTGCTATCTGGCACAACTTGAGTGTGCTAGCCTTTGCTGAGGGACACTCTTTTTTGTTTTTTGGTTGATTTTCTATAAAAATGCAATAAAATTCTCTAAGATTAATTGAAATGTAATTCGAGGAAGCTTTAAACAAAAACATAAATAAAAATTAATTAAAAGTAAGTAAAAATCATAATAAAAACTATATTAAAAATATTATAAAAAAACACTTATCATATAATATTAATTATATGAAAATTACAATTAAGAAAATGTTAAAGAATCTTGATGACAAGATCAAAACAAATAAATCTTGACAGAAAATTTAAATTAACATTAAACAGGTTTTTCAATTTATTGATTGCGGTCTAATTTTTAAATTTGATATGGCATTAGAGTTTTTGAGGTGAAAGTTACATCAATGTATTTTATTAACATGCTATTAAAGTATACCATACTTTAATATTTGACCATGATAGTCCACAGATGTTTGTCTGTAAACATGTTCATGCTTGAATGTGAGGGATACAAAATTTAAGTTTTGTTTAGTATCTCAAATTTATTTTTGTTCAGGACATGGATTTATAATTTTTACAGTTAAATGTTATGTTTATTCAGATATTTAATTTATTAAAATAATTTTTTTGAGGGAATGAAAATAAAATTTAAAAGACAAATAGAGAACAATTTATATAATTTATTTTTAAGGAATATATGGTTTCATGAGTTTTTTAAATGGAGAAATGGTAGGAACTATAAAATTAAGTTGTAATATATATATATATATATATATAATATATATATAATATATTCATAAAGGTATTAGAGGCAGTAAGCGTATCTTTCACTCCACTGGCAACAAAGAGAAATTGATCGGGAAATTAAAATGCAACGTATCGATTTGATTGTATTACTGAATCGATGCAGTCTATAAATTTTTTTTTTTTAATTTTTTTTGATAAGGTACAATTTTTTACTTAATCAAAACAAAATATTGAAACATTTCAAAAAAATAAAAAAAAAAAACGTTTTCCCTTTTTTTCCACACATTTTTTCTATGTTGAGTTACATTGTACTTCTATCAATTGTCAAGAATACTTACTGTCATTTTTCTATTTTTATTTTTAAGCCACATGGCATCAAATTTAGGATTCCGTTAAAAATTTTTTAATCATACCAACTTTTATTTTATTAGTATAAGTTTTATTTTAATTTCTTCAATCTCTTTAATCCCTAATAATTATCTATCCTCATATTAATTTTACTTCAAGCCATAATGATTCGATTTCAAGTAACTTAAGATAGGTATTGATTGTATTAGATTATTCTTATTAATCTGATAAAAAAATTATTCTAGAAAAAAATAATTATGAAACATCCTAATATAGAAATTATTCTCGTATGTTTCATCCTAATAGACACCGTTATATATATATATATATATATATATAAAAGGTATAAGCAGTAAGCGTATCTTCATCCACTGGCAAAAAGAGGAATTGATCGGGATATGCTAACGTACGATTTGAGGTGTACTGATGCGATGCAGTCTATAATTTTTTTTTTTAATTTTTTTGAAAGGTTACAATTTTTATTAATCAACAAAAGTATTATCATTTCAAAAAAATAAAAAAAAAAACGTTTTTGCCCTTTTTTCCAACACTTGTACTCTATCATTGTCAGATAATTACTTGTATTTTTATTTTATTTTAAGCCACATGGCATCATTTAGGGAACCGTTAAAAATTTTTATAACCAACTTTATTTTATTAGTATTATTTTATTTTATTTCTTCAATCTCTTTAATCCCTAAAATATTATCTTATCCTAAAATAATTTTACTTCAACCATAATGATTCGATTCAAGTAATAAGATAGGTTATAATTTATGAGATGATTCTTATTAATTCTGATAAAAAATATTTATGAAAAAAATAATTATGAACTCTAATATAAAATATTCTCGTATGTTTCAATCCTAAAACACGTTAGTAAAAAATAAATGAGCAGAAAAATTCAGGAGTAATTTTCTTAGGTCAAAATTTAATTTTATACACAAATATAAGTAGTTATTAACATTTTAAAAATTTTCTGAGCATATAAAATAATCCCAGAGAGATTTCATTCTCACCAAAGCATTAGAAAAAAGAAATTTACAGGGAACATGGAAGAAGGTAAAAACGTCAAATCTATCATTTCCACAAGTTGAGGTGCATTGGAAAAGGGTTTGAGAAGGGAGGATGGGACATGAAAAAGGCATATTAAGACATTCCCTATACTCCTACATGGAGTTTTTTTTTTTTAATAATTAATAGAAATTATATTATATATTACTCCTGAAAAAAATATATATATATAAAAAAAAGAAGTCTCAGCGCTTTCTTTCCAATCTGCCATTGTTAAAAAGCTGAGAACTCATTGATTAATTTTCCCTGACAGGATCTCTTCTTGTCGTTAAAATCTTCCTATCTTCATCTTTTTCTGTTTGGCGTCTCCGCCCTTCTTTATTATATCCATTTGCATTCCAACAACTGATAGTTTAGCCTCTCTTCTTAGCTTCCATTCACTGGACAAATTGCTTCATCAGGAGTCAACCTCACCTCTTCCACAAACATCTGGTTTTCATGGTTCCATGAAGCTGGTTTCTCATCTTCTATTTTTCCAATCAAATCAATAATAATAAAAAAACTATAATTATTTTCACAATGCAAAATAATTTTTGATTTGAAAATTGGAAATGAATCGTCTCAAATCATTTTTTCCTTTAGTTTGAATGTGAAGATCAGTTAGAGGAAAGACACAATTAGGGTTAGTGAAGAGACATTTTTCCCTTATTTAATCTTGACTCAAAAAAAAAAAAAAAGAAAAAATAATAAAAGAGGAGTAAGTACAAACAAAACCCAACCAACCATCTTTATCCACCAAAGATATGCTAAAAAGCTAAGAACCCCATTTCCTTTATGACCCTATAATTAAAGTCCTTTATCAGACAGACAAGTCCATGTGATCATCAAATCCTTGGTTTTCAAACCCTAAAACCATCACTAATAACCCCCCCAAAAAAAAACCATAAATAAATAAAAATTGCAAAAATAAAAAGCCATGAAAATAAATTAAATATAAAGAAAAAACCATAGTTGGAGGAACAAATTCTGATAGCCGCCAGTGTAATCATTCAGAATGATAATTACTACAAGAATCAGAGTGTGTAGCTAGCACCCCTCAACTTCCTAGAAAATTTTCCAAGAAAATGAATTTTCCCAAGAAAAACAGAAGGGAAAATTACTATCATTAAAAACTTCTATTGATATCAATCATATTTTCAAGAACCCAAAACAAGAAAAATCTTTATATACATCTACTGCCCTTTGATTGCTTCTTGGAAATAGATGAATGCAATTACTACCATTTTTACTTTTTACAATACAGATATCTTAGCTGTCAAATTTAAATATAGTAAAACCACCCATTTCTCAATTTTGAAAAGTAACAAATTGTAAATCTTCTCTCAACAATTAATAATACATTATCTTGATTTAATAATGTAAAAGAAAAGGATCCTTCTAGATGGGAGTTGAAAGAACAGTATTATCCCTTATTTCAAGGGCATGCTGTCTTTAAAAACGTCCCTCCCATTGGAGGGTGGTCCGTTAATAATGTACATATAGGGAGTGCTAAATTTAATTGTCGTTTTAGTTTAAGAAGAGAATGGTCATATTGCCACAGCCACAAAAATATATTCTCATACTATAATTTTCAATTACAATTTAAAACAAATGATATTACTTGAATTTTAACTTTTATTTCTTTATACTTTATTAATTAGAGTATGATTGAGATTTGATTTCACAATTGTAATTTTAGAAATTGATTAATTTCAGTATTACATTCTTTACATTAAAAATAACAAATTTTGACCTCAACTTGCAAAAAACAAAAAACGTGACATCCTTAACTCAAAACAAAAAGTCATTAATTCAGTATATTTTGTAAATTGAAATGTCTAAAATGTGTAATTTCATAAGTTAATTTATTTAATAAGGCAAAATAAAAATAGAAGGTGTCACACAATGTTTGAATAAATATAGAGTTAAATTTATGCATTATGCCAATAATTTTTATTTCTTATAAATTAAAATTTGATTCTACTAGAAAATATCTTACACTTGTTAAAAATGATATTTTTAAACACTAAGTTTAATAGAGTACAATGGTCACTTAATACCATTTTTTATTTTATTACAAAACAGTTGCTTAGATCATTACAAACTATTAATAAAATGTCTAAATTTAGAATTTAAAAGTTAAAATTATCTTTAAAATAAAATAAAGAATTTTCTTTAATAACAAAAAAATTATCACAGCCCTCAAAAAATAGGAAGGTTGGGGGCCAGTAGAAAACCCTAGTCGTTAGAATAAAACATTTTTTTGTTCGTTCAAGAACTTTTTTTGTGTTGTGTTATAGAGCAGAAGCAGAGCAGCATCCATCCATGCATGACTAAATCAGTCACTTTCCAGCGGCCTCTAGTGTATATCTCTCCAGCCTTTTATTATTAGGTTTATTAATTATCTATGTCTACCTATAAATACAGGAGGTCCAGCAGGTGCCGAACTCAAAACCCTGATTCTTTTCAAACCAAGAAAATACCAGAAGCTTTTCCGCTTCTCATTTCTTGAATCTTGTCTTTTATTTGTTCGTTTCTCTAATGGAGGAAGCCCTTAGGAGACTCAATGGAATGACCCATGTCCAAGAAACCTTTTCACATGAACCCATCATCACCGACAACCACAAAAAGACTATAAATGGTGCACCCGCCGCTACAACCACCACTACGAACAAAAGAGCACTAAAAGAAAGCAGCGGTGGAACTAGTGGGACCATGAGGTACCGTGGTGTACGTCGGAGACCATGGGGTCGTTATGCGGCGGAGATAAGGGACCCACAGTCGAAAGAAAGACGGTGGCTTGGTACTTTTGACACGGCGGAGGAGGCTGCTTGTGCTTATGACTGTGCAGCTCGAGCCATGCGTGGTTTAAAAGCTCGAACTAATTTTGTTTACCCTACTACGGATCCTCATTGTACAACAGACCCATTTCTCCCCCCATTTAATTTCTCATCAAAACAGTCTCAACATGCCATTGCTAGAGATCTTCCTTCCCGTCATCATAACGCTAATTCTTCTTCAAATTGGCCATCGTTTGCAAACTCTCCTGTTACTGACTTCTCTACTGGGTCTATAATACAGCCAAGAAGTAATAATGCTTCTTTTAATATGTTTTTTCGCGATTTCCTTAATCCTTCTTTTAATCACCACAATCAATCTCTATATGATAATCAGTTAACATATGTTAACGGGTCTTCTTCTAATTCAGCTACTACCGCTTTCTCTAATGGCTCTTTGGTGAATTTCTCTGACTCTAGTTTTGCAGGCTCTTCTTCTTTACCAGTGGTTGAGAACAAGGATAATAATGATAATAATTCTTGTGGAACTGATTACATGGAATTTTTTCCCCAAGAACCGTCTGATTCTGGGTTGCTACAGGAGATCATCCAAGGGTTTTTTCCAAAATCATCTTCTTCTACTGACAAGGTTGACAGTGCAGCAAAAAATTCCATGAACTGCAGTGCTAAATCAATGGTTGCACCTTTATCTGAAAACCACAGGATGGAAAATTCACACTTGGTTAAGAATGAGCAGTTGGGTTTATATTTTGAGAATTTCCATGGAGGGCAAGCACATTTTGAGAATTTCAATGGAGTTAATAACTCTCATATGGTTCCGTACAGTAATGGGTTGATGCCAGAGAATCTTCATCAAATGGGTCCAGAATCTATTTTAGATGACATTTTTCAATACCCAGATCTAATGAAAGCCTTCGCTGCAAGAATCCAGAATGCTTGACTCTTCCTCCATTAATTAGGTAGCTGGTTGACTAAGCTTATATATAACTCCAAGTCAATGCTAATTTAGGGTTTTTGTTTAATGTCTCTACTGTAATACGTATCTCTTTTTTCAGGAACTTCAAAGTAATGATAATATATTTATATATTGAAGTTTTTTTGGTTGTTCTGATCCTCCTCTCTTTATACATGCAGTGATGTTCATAAAAGCATGCTTTGTATCATTGTATGGATATATGCTCTTTGTGTTTGTTCGATAGCTTTCTTTACGTTGACATTGAAACTGAAAAGGGTTTTCTTTTGTTTCTTCTGGTGGAATTTTGCTGCTCTGATTCCTAACTAGGTGCTTCGTCCGAGTAAATAAATAAGTAGTATTGGCAAAGGACTAAGGAGCGCATGTTTCTTTTGTCTTGCTTTCGTTCGCTGTTAAGCTCCATAACCAAAACAAGAAACCCTAAAAAGGGTAAAGTGAACTTTTTTCTGTCTAGGGGCAGCCACGTTGCCTGGTGGATATTATTTCTTTCTTTCTTTCTTTCTTTCTTTTTATGTAAGACAAAATGTTATGCCTTGTTGTCCGGTTACTCTAATGGGATTAATGCCACCCAATCCAAGTCTGCACGTGTAACAAAGTTTACTTTACTCGTGTGTATGCAATGCATGTTATTTTGCTCAATAGGGCTGAATTTGTTTGCAAGATTGAAAAGGATGTTGAGAAGTCGTGATTCACATGACTCCACCCAGAAATTAAATCAATAAAAATAAAAATTTTCCTGGGAATAAGTGAAATCTTTAATAATACAAGCACTGAAAAATATAAGTAGAGGTCACTTTTTATGTGGCGAAAAATTTTTCTGATTAATGTAATTAAATGATAAAAAAATTTTAATTATATATTAATCTTTAATAATTAAAAAATAAAACACAACCTTATTATCAAATACGTAACTCCTAAAATACTGAATCATTATTGTCTTATTAAAGGGTGGAGGATCAACTTGGGAGAGAACTATTTAGTGTTCAATTTGAAATTCGTTGAATAAATTTGAATGTCAATGTGTAGTGTATTTAGGTAGCATGATAGTCTTGATAACTTAAAAAAAAAAATTAAATGATATATAAATTTAAATTTAAATTATAAAAATTATTTAAATATCAAGTGACTTATTTATTTTATCTAGTATCAAACTTCTTAATATGATTAGTTTAATGAGTTTTAACCGATTCTCCTTGTAATCTCTTGAATTCTGTAGGAGCTCATGATCTTATAATTTCATATTTAAATAATAATTATATTATTTGCTTTCAAAGGTTCAATTATAAAAACATTTGACTTTTTTTTACGTAAGATATCAATTTTTGATATTTAAACGTCCATTGGACTCTAATTAGGTTAAGCTCGAGTACTGCATGGTTCATATATGGTTTATATAGGAAAAGACTTTTTCCAGCGTGATAATTTTCATAGACAATACTTAAACTTAAGACTTTTAATTAAAAGATAAAATAAGTCCTAACCATTCCAAATATTCATACATAGTGTATCCTAACCATTGGATTGGCTTGAATTTTTAATCATAACCAGTAAATTTTAATTACTTGTTAAAAGAACTAAACTTTAGAATTATTCACCTCAGATAATATTCCCTCCAGTTATTTTTACTTGTTACTATCCAGAAATTGTTTTATCCAAAATCATTGTTTTGAAAATATTAAGGAGTAAATAATTAATTTTTTGTTTTCAAATGCTATTTGTACGGTTATAAACAATTGAATAACAGGTAATATATCCAATGGGCTAGAGTTTATTTGGGCTTTCTTTGACGAGATAGGCCTTTGTGTTTCAGCGGTTCAATTCGAACGGCCGAAACGACAAAGTAGTTGGTTTTTAGAAATAATCAGTTTATCAAACGATGATTGGTTTGAGGATTGGTAACTTGGCGTTTGTCTACCACGGATAACAAACGTCTAGTAGTTTATAGCAGAGTATAGAGAGAAGAGAATTATAGATCGTTCGTTCTAGCCATTAAGCTAAAAAACCAGAATGATTGAATGCCCCAAACTCTTTCTGGAGATCAGAGAGAAAAAGTAAACAAAATGTTAAATAGACGAAATTAAAAATTAAAGTAAACAAAACCTAATAAGATATGGTCTGCCATGATAATGTGGGACCTAGAGAGGCATTTTATCTAATGATCATCATGATTCAAATAAGTGGAACAAAAAAGAGGATCAAGAAGAACAAGAAGATGAAGATCAATAAAGAAAAGAGAAGTTAAAAATTGATGATGGGTATTTTTTTTTTCCCCTTTTTGTAAAGAGCAGTTGAAGCATTAACAAAAGGGTAAAAATGTAGGTGAGACATTGACAGAGTAATACTATCACTCCCGTGAAGGAAAATGATAGTGCATGATGGATTATATCTTCCTTTAGTTTTAATCAAAAGCACCTTTCTTTCTTATCTTTATACCCATTTCCAGCTCTTTCTGTCTTTATATATCTTCATTTCAAAACCCAATTCTAACTCCAGTGTCATAAAGATTCAATCTTTTGTATTTTCTAAGGACTTTTTCCTTTTCTTTTTCACAATTCTTGCTATGTACTTGTTAGTTCTTTTGAACTGATTTTTGAAAACTAACTGTAATTTCATTTTTTTTATTTGCAGAGTTTAATGGAAAGTGGACAACTAATCAGCAAAAACACGAAGGTGGAGATTGCAACAGAAGCAGAGAACAACATTATGTCTGCAAATAAGTTGCAAGTTATAACAACAACTACTTGTGCTTCTGCTATGCCTCAATTGGCAAGACAACAAAGTATAACAAAGAACAATTGCCTATGCTCCCCAACATCTCATGCTGGTTCATTCCGGTGCAGGCTTCATCGGACACCGGTCCTCCACCGAACCAAAAGCATAGACTCTGCTTCACCGTCTAAGGTTAATGCCGTAGCTGATCATGTAACGCAAGAATAGATGAGGCTCATTAATAATTAATTCACTTAATTGTATAATGTTTGTGTTATATGTATTGCATGATCTTTGGTTTGATGTTAATAATAATAATAATACTGAGGTTTTAATCATATTTAATTTTCTTCAGAACCCATAATTATAAGATGTTTTTTGATTGAAAAATAAGAATAAGACTTGAAAATAATAATTAATAATCGAATTTGTTTGTTAATAATTTTTGTCAATCATAATTTCTTATTAGACAAAGGATTTAGCAACCAATTAATGTTACTAATGAAATTCTGTAGTACTATTTGAGCAAAGTGATTTGTTTAGGCATGAAGTATAAGCTTAGACAATTAATTTGTTTCTAAATTAGGGTTTCTGATAAAATTGAAGAAGTTGGTTCTGTCAAAAGGTGTTCTTGTGAGAAAGAGAAAGCAATTAATGTCCAATCACATGGCTTCAAAATCTTTATCTGAGGCTGAGTTATAAATGCAGCTAGAAGCTGTGCCCAACCAAACTCAACCATCTCTAGCTGTTGATAAAACTGAGAATTGATTGACATGAACATATTTTGAGCTACTCCACCAAACTAGACCCTACAACCCCATATTTAAGTCATGCTTGCATCACACAAGCACTTGGGTCATATATTGGAGTTCAGTAATTCAATCCTGATATAATGACCAAAAGGTGCATTTTCAGGTACTATATCTTATCTAATCCAATTGTGTAGTATTTGATTATTTCAATTTAAACCCATTTTGGAATGATACGGATTTTTATATTTATTCATATCTTTGACGATAACATATCAATAAAGCTAAAATTCTCAGATAGTAGAATATAAAAGTTTTTTGTTTTCTCCGCAAAGTGTCTTTTACGAGAATCGAACTTGTATTTTCACCTTAAGGAGATTGAAATTGCTTATCACCTCAATCAACACCTTATTGGTAGAGCAGTACATTCCTCTAGAAAAAGCTTCTCTAATTGCTAAATTTAAGGAATTGAAATTATAGAAGATAAGGCAGCTATAAACTTTAGATAATAAACTAGATGAAAGGCAATTATTGGCAAGTATACTTTAGTGCAAAATGGGAAAAATATAAGAAAGCAAAATAAAAAGAAAAAGAATCATGTAGCTCTAATGGAATGGAGTGGCAAATGCAAGGGACATGCAGGTGCTTCTAAACAGGACATCTTTGAGAAAACTTATGATGACTATAATGACTGCAATGATTATGACAACAATAATGATGACCACACTCACAATTATGCAAGCCAATGCTCTATAACTAATGCACATTAGAAATTTTTTGGTCCAAGACTTTACATGGTGCTAGAAATTATACATACATACATACATACATACATGTTTCCAGCAGATATCAAACCAAATAATTGTAAATTGAAGGAAATGGGTTTAATGTAAGATTTTTACTGGGTTTTCTGCATTTGGTTGGTGACTGATTTTCTATTAAAGATTTCACCAAGTGTGTGTTGAGTAAGGTATAATCAATAAATGAGTATCTCTTAAGATTTTCTTTTGAGATTTCCATGTGATTGAAGTTCTATTTTCGATGTATATATACCACTAAGGCCATTTTCTAACTGAATAGAAATGCATATTTTACTCACAAGAAGTATTTCCTGACCAGTAAGAGATCATAATAAAAAAAGAAAAAATTGTGATGCTATGGAATTCCATCGAGAGCTGAAATTGGTAGCTGAAAACAAAGGAATAAGACAAAAATCTGCAAGATAACAGCACTGCATTATATGTCAGAAAAAAGAAAAGACATAAACAAAAACTAATTGCAGTAATGAATAAATGAGGATCCAGGTGAGATGCAGCAAAGAGACAAAGACAGGTGTTGCAGATTTGTAGACAAACACAAGAATAATGGTCCCACAAAAACTGATCTACACCCACGAATCCTGTTCTAATTCCCACAGAAAGATCCACCTAGAGATTTTAATTCCTCTCACGTCTGAAAATCTCGATTCTTATTATATTAGATTACATCAACAATGCACATTTCGATTCTCTGATTTCAGCTAGGAATTACAGGAGGACCAAAAAAAGGCAAAAGTGTATAACTTAAGCTTGAAATTACCATCTGTTGTTGTCCGGAAATAAACAAAATTATCACTCAATTCTTTTCTGCAGCATTTTTATTGATGGACAAGAACTTGCTGAACATTCTTTTAGGTCGTGTAGGAATAGTGCGAAAAGCCTTAAATTTTGAAGGTCTCCCGTTTGATTGCAAATCACTTTCATCCAAATCATCATCTTCAGCTAATTTCATTCTTAAAGTAGAAATTTTGGATTTTGGCGACTTAAGGCCTGAGACACTCCATTGATCCTCTGCTGGAATGCTAGTAGTAGTGCTTAATGCTGCAGTAGGCCTTGATGGGTCAATGTTATGTGAGGCTAGAAGTGCCTTAATGTTGCTAGGCAGCTCAGTGACTTTACCACCAGCCATAGTTGCTCTAGCTTGCTCAAAGAAGAGAACTTGAACTACTACCCTCAGTGGAAGTAACTCATTTTGTGCAGCATGCATGCAGGCTTCAACAGATAATTTCTTGCAGTCTAGAGTTCGACACAACCGTTTTCTTTCACTTTTGTTTAGTTCCGGATGAGCCTGGATATTCACACAAGAAAATTAGGATGAACTTTTAATTTTCTCCATTCTTGAAATAGCAAGACTAAGTGACAAATCCATAATTCTCCAAATACAGGTGAAAGAAAAAAAAAAATTCCAAATACATTGTCTATAGCAGAAAATACTTCCACAATGCAGGAAACAACATTGATGATATACGTTCAAATTCATTATTTGACTAATTTTTAAAAGTATAGCACACAGAATTATAGCCATTCATACTAAATTTGTTAGGTCAGCCTAACCCTAACTGCCAATAAATTATGAGTAGGACAACATCCTGAGGTCAATAGAGTTGGTTATCTAACTGATAAAATGATGACCCACATCCTAGAATGTGATAGTGATATATGTCCTAACGTCAAAATATGTGGAATGAGTTGAGATAGAAGTTTGTTTTTGTTTTTTGTTTTTACCTTGAGATAAATGTCAATAGCTCTGTAGAGATCATCATGATCATGTCTTGCAAAATCCGGTATGGACTCAGCAAGAGCAATAAACTTTGAGAGAGGCAAATTTACATCCCTTGCAATTTCCTGAAGATAGCCATCCACAATCTTTGCCACCTTCAACTTTGCACTATGTGATGCTGAAGAAGACCTTCTGCTTTCTTGAAACTCCAAATCTATATTTTCCGCTGACCGTGACCTTCTTCGCCTTTCAAACCCAAACTTGGATCTTGGAGGGCTAGTTGGAGGACTCTGCCCTTGTAACATGAATTGCTCTAATATGTTAATTACCAAATCTACATCATACAAAGTGTCACTTTCATCTGAGAAAGAAGGTATTAACAAATCATTTACTGTTGCTTCCTCTAATTGAAGTCCCACCCTTCTAGCCAATTCCATTTTTGAAGAAGACGAGGCATTAAGAATATTAGCTGCTTTCAACAATTTAAGCAAGAAACTACAAGACACAGCTCTTCTATCTGCTGGAAGTAAACTTACTATAGATTCCAAAAGCAACCTATGCTTTGAATTTAGATCATTCATAGAGTCTGAATCAGAACCTGATCCTTCTTCATTCTTAGCATTTCCTGATCTTGATATATTTGGCAACCATCTAGCTGCATAAATTTTTAATGCATCACCAATAAGATTAGAAGGAACCCTTCCGCCAGATTTAATAGCAATCATAGTTCTCCAATACAAGTCTATGCCTAATTCCGCCATATCTTCAGCCCACCATCCCTTACTCGCCGGTTTATGCCTTTGGCTTTCTGCTCCATTACAAGATACATCATCCCTTACTCTTCTAGAATGACTATGTGACAAACTTACTTTTGACGGATGAATTAAAACCTTAGAAGCAATTGCTTCAATACATCTACTTGTAATTCCAAGATCTTCTGACCATAAAGGAAAAGCTTTAGTGCTTTGGAGAGTAACAATTGAATCTTTCCACCCATGAAGTATGCAGGAATTAAAGAAAACTTCAATCTTGTATATTAAGTTCCCTTTCTCTACATCTTCTGTCATCTGCAAATACTCAGCTGCACATCTCGCCGCAACAATGTTATAGGCACTAAGAGTGATTGTAATACCATAACAGAATTTTGCACATAGCTCAAATGCCTCAATCCCACCAGGAAAATCTGGTAGTTGGACTATTTGATGTTGTGAAGATTCAGGGGATTCAGAGCATAGTCTCTGTAACCTCAAGCACTTGGAAAGCAGAGGAAACTGCAAATAATGAACTTATAAACGATCAGAATTTAAAAAAAAAAAAAAAAAAACATTTATTGATCATAATCCAATTCAACAAAGACAAAAATCCAGTTTAATAACAACCAAGAAAATAAAATTCTAAAATCTTTTACCTTGTGAAGCATATATCTACTTCCTTTCACTTGAATTATGAGATCGCTGGATACTTCAGAGGAGACAGACCTGCATTGTTAACTTAAAATTCATTAAATCCCCTTCATATTTTGCATAAAATTAACAAATTTTCCAGGAAAATTTTACCTGACAGCCTCAGCAGTATAGAAGGTGTCTGGCCGGGATCCAAGTTTCATAAACTTCATGACTAGTCCTTTTGATTCCTTTAATCTTTATTTTTCTTCTCTTTTTGATTTATAATTTCATGAAATACTCTTTAACATAGTTAAATCAAATAAACCAAACTTCATAGCAGATGAAAGCTTCCATTCAGTACAAGAAAACCCACAGAAAGTTCCTCTTCTTCTTCCTCCAAAAGCAAACAAGAAATGTTCTCCCCTCAACACCACCTGTTTCCTATATTTAATAAAAAGAAAATAAAATTTCTTCAACTTAACAAAACAACAAATTATACTGCAATCCCATTTAAAGCTGTAATTTTCACTCATAAAAAAGAAAAAAAGGATAGAAATTTCATGGAGGAAAATAGGATATGCTTAAAGAAAGAAATGCCAAAAAGCTCTACTTGTAGTTATGGGTAATGAGTAGGATGCTATATGTCCAAGTTTTACATATATGTTAAATCAAAATAAAATCCTAAACTTCAAAGCAAGATGAAAGTCTTCCATTTCAAGTTAACATAGAAAAACCCACATGAAAGTCCTCTCTTCTTCCTCGCAAAAGCAAACAAAGAAAATGTCTCCACCCTGCAACACCACCTGTTTCCCTATATTTATAAAAAGAAAATAAAATTTCTTCAACTTAACAAACAGACAAATTATATCTGCAAAATCCCATTTAAAGCTGTAATTCCACTCATTAAAAAAAGAAAAAAAAGGAACTAGAATTTCATGGAGGAAAATAGGATATGCTTAAAGAACAGAAATGCCAAAAGCCCTACTTGTAAGTTATGTGGTAATGAGTAGGATGCCCTGATAGATGTCATAGTTTACATAATATATACTATATACGTATATATATATATTATATTATATATATATATATAATAGTATTATATATAATATACCACAGAGAGAGAGAGAGAGAGAGAAGAGAGAGAGAGAGAGAGAGAGAGAGAGAGTATGAGAGAGTTTTGCTACGATAAATTGACAAAGTGAAGGAAACCCAGAAGAACGAAAAATCCAAAGTCTAGGTCCTGTCAGTCAAATTCTATACCCCATAGGATTTGGACATGCAAACAAAGAATTAAAACTACTGCAATCCCATCAAGATCGGATGTACCTCACACTTCCACCAACATATTAATCAAACAAAAGCAAAGTTTAAAAAAAAAAAAAAAGAGATAATTACAATAAAAAAGAACCATATCTTCCCTGGAACGAAACATACATGTAGTAGAAGCACAATTTAACATTCCTTGAACTAGAAAAAGAGTATATATTACAAAATTTATAAAGACTAGTCTAAAGATCACAACCTCAAATCCAAGATTCTTGATATGCTCAACAAGCATAAATTGCCAATCATACATAGCAAAAACTGGACCTGAAATGTGAGAATCTTGAACCTATACTATTTTACTCTCTTTTCCCTTTTCGTTACTTGAAACAAATTACAAATGGTGGGTTTAAGGGCCTAAGTAAGCCATATTTCCATGGCTATACACTGCAGCGTGCAATGAGTAAGGCGACTCCCACGTGCTTATCCTGCGCCCACTTGTGCCCTTCCCTTTCATCATTGCCATGCCATTTTTTTTCTTCTTTCTTATTATTTTTGGTTAAATATTTTTTTTATTATTTTTTACAGTACTCCCTCTCGATTAGTTTAGTCAAACTCTATTTTATAATTGATATCTGATCTCACTGGATATCTGAAATATTTAATTCTTGATAAATATCAAAATTTTCCCTTAAAAATCTCTTGCTACTCCTAAAATATATCCTGATCAATTCTAATTGCAAACGGTTAACAAATATAGTGGATCTCTAAATCTAAAACAGTTACATTTATCACTTATATCTTATAGACAGAGGCCAGAAGAAGAAAAAAAGCTCTACACACGATAAAATTCTATTTTCTTTTCTCTATTTTACAATTTTTTTTCCTTGTTCTAAAATTTCTCTGAAAATCACCAAATGGATTATAGAATTTTTGAACTATGATCCATTTTATTAGATTAATTGGATTTTTTTAACTTATATATGATCCAATGTTATGCTTACATGATTCGTTTTCATACCGACTCTAATCATATCACGTTTCAAAAGAATTCATTTTGAACTCCATACACTGTCATGCTTATATGATTCGTTTTCATACCGACTCTAATCATGTCACGTTTCAAAAGAATTCATTTTGAACTCGATACACAATACCGTTCTAATACTCCAAGGGCCACAATATATAAATAAATGGGCAACAATCAAAATGCCATTGTGTTTAGGTAAAATACAAAATGAGACATCCTTAGCATTAATTGGCATATGGTCCATGAACATGAAATATATCCTATATATTGTTATTTATGTGTTGGTGAAACAAGTACTTTCTTACCATTTTATTTTTCCTTTTTCTTCTCCTTTTAAGGTACTAAAAATAGGTTGGATTTCCAGCCCCGTGTATTTTTTTAATTTGTGTCATTAAATTAATTTTTTCAAATTCTTTCAAGATACAGAGAATGAGAAATCTCATGTTACTAGTTCGAGTTCTTTATAGAATTTTTTAACTGAGTGTTATTCAAAAAAAAAAAAGAACTATATTTTGCCTCGGTGAAATAAAGAAAGAAAGGCGGCTGAGGTTCATTAACAAGATCTCTAAAATCTTTTATATGTTTAAGAATTTGAATATTATATATCAATAAGAACTGAGATTTATACATGGAAAAATATATATTCATGCATGGGCCATACACAATTGATTGATCAACAAACCTAAGACTCAAATATATGATATATACTTGTATATGTATATAAATTATATATATTGTTTATCTAAAGATAGAAATGAACAATCATATGTGAATTTATTAACTTCAATTTAAAATTTTCTGGTAATATTTTAATTAACCACTCAATTGTGTTAGCTCAACCCCACATTACTTATGTGCTAAGCTGGATTTCCAGCCAACCTAATATATTAATTAGTGTGTTTACATCACTTAAATGATGAACTGAATTAATGCTCTCTTTTTATTATTTTTTATTTTTTGTAGATTTATTTCAAATCCCTTTAATTATTTCTTAAACCTCGAACAAGAGAAGTGGGTTTTTTTTCTTTTTCTTTTTTTTTTTTTTAATGCGTTCTTTATGTTGAAGTGATAGGCATCAAGATTTGAAGTTTAGAACACTAAAAAAAAAGTAAAATGGAGAAGAAATCCCAAGTTTCTGTCATGAACACAATCTTGACTTAATTATAAGTAGATTAATCTAAGATAATCTAGAATCGTAATCGTTATCCTTTGCAAAAAGCCTTGTCTGATATGGTCCACTTCACCAACATCTTTCTATGGAGAAATAAATAAATACTAGACGAATCAAAAAGAAGACATTCATTGCAACCAAATAAAAGAAAGAAGACATTCATTACAAAAAAGCTCTCAAGGTTTGATTTAATATATATGCATATACCATTCCCAAATTAGTAATTTTAGCCCCTATAAACTATTAATAAAAAAATTGAAGATATTAGTCGACTAATATTTAAAAAAAAATTATAATTAGGGATATATTAAAATTTTAATTTCAGAAATAGCTAATTTAAAATTATAAAAAAAAGTGTGAATAGTCTCGTAGACTTCTATAATACACACAAAAAAAAAAGACTTTTTTTCTTTTTTTCTTATTAATACATAGATTTTTCCGCTCGGATCGAGAATGATATTCAGATAAATAAAGTCCATCCAAAATACAGTTTATTTTGCTAATTCAACTTTTTTTGGATCACAAAAATAAGCCTTGTGATAAATAATACTTACCTTGCTAAAAATAAAGTTTGTTTATATTGTTGATCACATAATACAAAATAATTATTTGGCTACATCTTGATGGAACATAAAGTTGTAATGAAAAGAAAAAGTAAGGTAAAGAAAGAGATGCATCACATACACACCTAAGAATCCCAATGGCTTGTTCTCTTTGGAGGTTAGTGGAATTAGTGAAAGAATGACAAAAGTTGCAAAATTCCTTCAAAAAATTCCCTACCAAGCTAGCTATAGTCCCTTCTTTATCTGGGTTTCTTTTGAGCAATGAATGTATATAGTCCCTTCTTTAATCTGGGTTTCTTTTTGAGCAATGAATGTATATATATATATATATATATATATATATATATAGATTAGTTAGGTTTTGTATAGATTAGTTAGGTTTTTGGTCTTAGCTAAAGAGTTGTATCTATCAAACAAAGTTAGTGTCCCAAAGATTGTCCACCAAAATGTTAGACCAAATTAGGCATTATCACAAGATAAAACAAAGACCCAAAATCTGAATTGGCTTAATCAATGTCCACTAAAGGTCAAGACCTAAAGCTTGTGCTGGCTAGATCACTCCCATGCCTTATACCCTTTTGGCTATGGCACTTAGCTTAGCTAGTCTCTATTAGTTAATTGTCAATTCTTTCTATATATTTTAGGAATAAAACTTTCTTAGATTGGGTTCATGAGAATGAAACGAAGAACTTTTTAAAAAATGTTCTGACTTTATTTATTTTATCCAAGTGTATGGTCAGAAATACCTTCTTTTTAATAAGAATACTTACTTTTATTGGTTTGCTCCATAAATGCGGCCATAGATCTGATTTAAGTAAGTTTTTCTCATATTTCACTAGTAGTGAGTATGCATATTTTTATTGAGCGTTCCTAAATACCATAAGTTGTGTCTGACACAATCTGTGCATATTTACAATTACACCTTTCGTGTGTATGAGCAATATCTAAAACCTTAAAAAGTTTTTTAAGGACATTACTTTCTTTTTACTCATGCCTAGCCTAGGAGACGTGCCAAAAATATTTTACAATTACACCCTTAGTCTAATATCTGCAATATTTAAAATTTTTAAAAAAAATTTTAAAGGCATTACAGTCTTTTCACTTGTACAGTAGCTGATTAAAATTGTGCTAAAAATATTTTGCCATTTTTATTATTTTTTTGGAAAGGTAAATGAGTGGTGTTTGCATATTAGCACTTCTCAAGCCAAAGGCAATTGCAAGTGGGCATAAAATTGATGTCAACCCAACGTGAGAAAGGGGATGATCCATAAATGCTGTAATGGTCCTTCTCTATGTTACCCAACGGGGTAGCCAACCGACAATGCTCTCTTTTTTGGGACCCACTTTTATGGGACCCCCACTTGTTTCCTTTCTTTTGTGGGTCCCTTTTGCCTTCTTCACATTTTTGACAATCACTTTGATTAGAGCTTAAATTTTTTTAAAATTTAATATTTTGAGTCACATCATTCTAATTTCTAAATCAACTTAATTGTTACATTCATAGGATTAATTTCTATTTTATTTCAAAAAATATGTAAAATAAGTATATGATACTTTTCAATTAAATACTTTTTGATTTGATTACTAGCGAAGTAGATATATTTTTTTATTCCACGAATAAAGAAGGAAAATAATGTGAAATTGGTATATAATAACAATGAATAATACCACTAAGATTTTTTAATTTTGACAATCATTTTGTAATTTTGTAAAAAAAAAATTTGGATTTATATCACCAATATTGGAAAGTCTACTAGGCTCTGATTACGTCCGACTTAAGTACTAAGAGCTCTATAGGCTGCAATTCTCCCGGCGTTGAAATTTCCATATTCAAAGCTCAAACTTGAAACATTTGATTAAAGGAAAAGAAGTTTCAATAATTTCATCCCAACTAACATCGGTTAATTTTGTAAAAAAATTTTAAGGAAATTTTTTAAAAAAATTGAGAAGGGAATGATTAGAGGAGATGTTAGGTTGTTGAGAAGCAAAATTATAGGATTTTATATGAGAATCTTGAAATTGATGTCCATGTGAGTTTTCTTGGTGCATCTTTTGGGTTTTTGTGATACGCACTAAAAGATTTTAAGCTTGATTGGGAATTTAAGATCAAAAAAATGAAATCATGTGCATTTATGATTTTGTATGAGCAAAAATAATTATATTTTATATAGAATTATAAGGGAAGGAAAGAAAAACAAAATCATGCATGCATGGTCTAGACATTGATATATCTTTCTTTTCTTGGCTTATTTCCAATGTTATGTATAGCTTGAAATCTTCAAATAAAGTAAGTAAACCTTATAATTAGAGACACCATACAAATACAAATTATTGCCCTAATAATACACATTGTAGGGCCAAACCCTAATTATCCAATTCTACTACTACTATACTAATTAGGGTTGGTCTTTATCTCTTCATTATGAGCTACCTAGCTTTAATTAATATAAGTGAAACATTGATATGCCAAGTTTAATTAGTGAAAGTTTTTTTAGAAAGGTACATTTATAGATGCAAATGAGTCCAGTTGGCTTTCAAGCTGTTGGAGTTCGGTTCGAAAAAAGTTTGAAGAAATTCAACTCGAATCGAGTTCGAATCTAATGATATTCAGTTTGAAAGCTCATCGAATCTTATCGAGCTTTTATATATATATATATTGAAAGCCACATCGACATTTATGAGCTTTTTATATATATATATAATATATATTTGATATTTATTTTAACAATATGATATTTATTTTAAATTTACTCGATGATCAAGTCTTGAGCCGAGCCTGTACTTATAATTTTTTGAGTGAATAGCCTCAAGTCGAG